GAAGGGATTACTATTCCACCTTTTTTTTACTAATTATGGAATTCTTCCACAGTGCAATGTATATTAGAAGAAAGTTTGGTTCTGTCTTTCCTTATAGCATAGGGAATTTCCTTAGTATAAACTTACTCCTGATTTAGCCAAAATGAGTGCCTATTTCCCCCAATAACTTTAACTAAGAGGACAGTTTTCCAAACCAGAGCCCTTCTTATTATTGAATGCACTCAGTTGATCAAAATAACCTATCCAGATATACGCTAAACTACAAAGTTAAATTTCGCCATGAAAGTTGTTTGCAGCCCTCGCCGGACTGTAGCTTAGCTTGCTCTCTCTCTCTGTCCACACCCCTCCGACAAATTTGCAACAATTACGCAATGAAGTGAGACATCATAACAAGCAATAACCTTTCTTACTCTTATTTCTACCTCTAATCGTCCTTTCGCCCGTGGCGATGTTTGTTCAAACATCCCTTTACTTTTTACTTTGTTTTTTCCCAAAGTCACCAAATGTACTTAAAGCACCGCATTCGAGCCACACTTTTTGGACTCTGATATGACCAATTAGCTCTTTAACTCTGAACCTGAGTGGAATCACCGCGCGCTTTATGAAACAAAGAAGTTGGGTAGGTAGCGGTGAAATCCTTGTTATTAATCTGATATTTGTTGGTTTTTTTGGTTCCTCAAAATTACTCTGAATTACGGCTTATAGGCGCAGACCAAAACTGGCTATAACTATTTGGGTCGACATCCATAAGTCACAGTGCGGCGACCGCTTTATATTCATTAAACTACCGATAGGCAGCCAGTAGTATAAATTAAATCTATACGAGACACCACACTGACAGCATACGTACTAAAAGTCTAGACACATGTTTCGCCGGTATTCTGCCGCTGCAGGACACAGCTGCAAGGGTTTCAGCTCATCACTCTATCGCCCAGCATTCCTACTAATTCGAGCTGATTAAGTTAATTCTAGTGATTATTTTCTCAGCAAGTTAAAAAGCGACAATTTAAAAACTGGAGTAACTACCAGAAAACGCACAGGGAATGCTGTGGGACCCACTGATGAGCCGAACCCCTCATACCTGTGCCCAGCAGCGATAGAATACCGGCAAAACACGTGTGTGGGTTTTAAGCTAGTACTTTTAATGCCGGTATGGTGTATCGTGTAACCTTAATCTGCAATTTTCATTTTTTTTCTTGGTCGCGATTGAGCTCCCTCACCCCAGACGTTTACATCGCCGTGCTTTTAGACAGGGTACTTGTTGTCGACATGAGCTACTGTTAACCCATACAAAACCCTGCCAACCTCATAATCCTCCAAGGTGGAGGCCAATATCCCGGTGTCTGTATGAGTAAGAAAGAAG